TCTCTTCTTCAGGTATTGTATTGCTTCTGACCTGAAGAAGAGAGGTTCACTCTCAAAAGCTTGTCTTTTATATATTTTGTTAGTCCACTAAAAAAGGTATCATTGCACACTGCAATACGGCATTTTTATATATATACATATATTTTAGGGATGCACTAGTATCGGTGCATATCCTGAGTATTTGGGTGAGTACTCATACTCGCCCAAATGCTCCCGATGCTTATCCTGATACCGGAACTTCCAGTATCAGTAATCCAGGCAGCAAATCATTACATGCTGCCCAGCATCCTGATTAGCAGGGAAGCCGGCTCCATGTTCCCTATTCTCCAGGGAGCATGGAGCTGCCTTCCTGGCCAATTAGGAAGCCGGGCAGTATGTAATGACTCGCCGCCCAGGAAGCCGGGCAGCGAGTTTACCTGTCCCCTCCCCTGACTTCCCGAATGGCCAGAAAGCCGGCTCCATGCTTCCTCGTCACCTGGTGATGAGGGAGCATGGAGTCGGCTTCCCGACTAATCGGGAAGCACAGTGGCGAGTCATTACACTCCGCCCGGCTTCCTTAATAGGACTGCTTGGGGGATAGTCATTTTGGTGTCACCCACTCTAAAAAGTAGGGCACTCGGTCATGGACTGAGAGCATGACAGGGTCAGGAGAGAGGAGGGTACCCGGCGGCATATCTCATCCCGCCAGGTGAACGTCCCCTCCTCTCTCTCGGCGTCCACAAATAAGATGGCCGCCGGCACTTGTAAATTAGATGGCCGTGCAAGCGCAATGACGTGACGGTGGGGTGTCATCCGGTCTCTGCTCTGGATGGCATCCGGCTCGGTATCGACAAGTAGTAAAAGCAAAAAAATATCGGTAATCGATACTGAAATAAATCGGTATTGGTGCATCGCTAAAATATATTTCAATGCAATAAGCAATAGACTCAGCGCTCTGCAACGCAATGGACTCAGCACTCTGCAGCGCAATGGGCTCGGCGATCTGCAACGCAATGGGCTCGGCGCTCTGCAACGCAATGGGCTCCGCGCTCTGCAACGCAATGGGATCGGCGCTCTGCAACGCAATGGGATCGGCGCTCTGCAACGCAGTGGGATCGGCGCCCTGCAACTCAATGGGCGCGGCGATCTTCAACGCAAGGGGCTCGGCGATCTGCAACGCAATGGGCGGTCATAGTTGTGCATACTGTATGTACCCGTCGGTTCCCGCAGTTGTTACGCTGCTGCAGTGGTCCAGTGTATACAGTTAGTGTATCACAAACAATACATATTTGCTCTCCATACATTTTCAGATCTTGCTGTAAAGTCTATGTGTCAGTGTGTCACAGTAAATTTAGGCAATGTCCTGTCTCCCCTCCACTGTCTGGCCGCTCTCTTGTGGTTTTCATTACAAGCAGAATCAGTGGAGCACGAGGCGGCTTCCACATGCTGCATCCCTGCTCAGAGCCGACTAGCTCTGCCCATTCTCCACCTCGCATTGCTGCCCATTAATCCTAACACTGCTTAATGCAAGAGCGTTGTTAGTCGCACAGCTACCTCTTCTCCTTATGCTTCAGGAGAAGAGGTAGCGTTTGCATCGGGTAAAGCAGCCTGGCAAAGGATACCATTTTGATTAGGTGTATTCTGCCAAGGAGCGAGAGGGGGAGGTCCCGCCATGCCACCAACTCCCTTCTGATCTTGTCAAAGAGAGGGGGATAATTGAGAGTATACAATGAGGAAGGAGTGGTGCCTATGTGTAGGCCAAGGTATACTATGGATCCCTTGGCAATGTTGAATATAGGAGATTGGCCTAACGTGGTCGACGCTCGAGATGTCAACGGTAGTATGGTGGATTTGGATGCGTTTATTGTTAGGCCCGAAAATTTCTGGTATGTTTGGAACGTGTCTTGAATAAATTGTATGTCACTGGACGGGTCATTGGAGAATATTATGATGTCATCTGCGAATAGCATTATTTTAAGTCGTGTTTTTTGGAAGGTGTAACCCTGATGTGCGTTGTCTGACCAAGTTTGCCATCATTTTTCCAGATTTATTTCCAAATTTGTGGAATTTCAATTTAGTGTGCGTATGATAGTATAGGTTTTGTTGTGTGGTGCACCATTCAAAGTCCAGCTTTGCTTTGGTCCACTCTTCCCTATGTTCCGCAGATCCAGTTAATGCATATTGTATTTGAGCTAGGCGCAGGGACGAACTAGCCTTAAGAAATTGGGCTCTGGCTTTCCTTTTTCTGGCAGCAATGTACGCCATTATTTTCCCCAGCATTACCACCTTTGCTGTTTCCCAATAAAGATTAGGATTGTCTTTGTGGGCATGGTTAAAAGACTCGTACTCTCGCCAAGCCTCCTCCAGCATAGTTTTAAATGACGCATCCGCATATAGATGCGAGGGGAAGCGCCATATAAAAAAATCGCCCCTTGGAGGGGAAGATTGTAGCTGGATTAGGATTGGTGCGTGATCCGATATAGCTATAGGAAATAATGTTGCGTCACTAGGGAGTCCACCGTCTCCGTTGCCATGAAGTAGTCCAGCCGGGCAAAGGAGGCGTAAACTGAAGAGTAATGGGTGTACTCACGTTCAAGGGGATTCCTAACCCTCCAGACATCCACTAGATTGGCATTGGCAGACAGGTCTTGCAAAGGAGTGTGAGGAGGGAGACCGGATCCCAAGTTGAGGTTTCCTTTGAGATACCCTGGGAATACCCTGGACTTCCTAATTGGCAGTATATCCATCTTTGTCATATGCATGCAGAGACACTGTTTGCTCCCCTGTGACAGCTTAACCGTAAGTTATACATATACTTTTTAACCCTCATGACCCAGCCAGTCACAACAGACTGGGCAGCATTTATCCATTGAACAACTGTTATGCTATACCCAATAAGTATCTACTCAGGTTGTTGCACTCTTCCTTATACTGTGTTTGTATTTTGTAATGTAGAGATTTATTGAACAGTATAGCTACCCCAGCTCTTCTTCCCACTGCTGGTGAACTGATAATTTCTCCCACCCACATTTTCTGTAATCTACCTATATCCTCCTGGGATAAATGAGTTTCCTGCAGCAACACTATATCCGCCTTCATCTTTTTAAGATGGCGAAGGAACATCATGCGTTTTGCTGGAGATCGCAAGCCATTGATATTCCAGGAGATCACTCTCATATTAGGTTGCGAACCAACTGGAAGAAGCATAGGAAAACTTATACAAAATTAACATCATAGTATTTGGCAAAATGAATAAAAGATCATAGTTACTAGGTAAAATGACTTTCACCCCCCCCTGGTAATGTTGGCTCAGAAGACCTATGTGCCATATAGACTGTAGAAACAAGTATGCAATAAACTCCCTTGCTAACCGATATCTTAGAGAAACAATGAGACATAAGTGCAAAGACCCTGACTGTGTGAGTTAGCGGTTGTCGGTCAACAGGACCATAACCCTGAGATTCAGAAAAACTAAACATATCAAAACAAGCAACAACAATAGTACACATTTTGTGACTTCACTTTTTTGCCTCTATAACCCTACAGAGTGAGCCAGTGTGCTTCCGCTATGCTGTGGGCATGAACCCAGGGAGTTCTTGTAGTAGATTGAAAATTACCCCTGGTCCCATTCCTGACGAGGATATATTCAATATCAGATGACCAATGTTTATAAAATAACTGTGCTTGTCTTGGAGTAACATCCGTATCATCTAGAGAACAACGATTTGTATGTCCCCTTGCAGTTAACCCAGACAGTCACTGGATATTGAAATTGCAAGTACCTAACACAGGGAATAAGGCAGTTAGTTCCTGTCGAATATGGGATATGGGGGCGAAGAGGCTATGGACTGAACAGATCAGTAGTATCTGTCAGGCCTAGCTCCACGGAGGGGCAAAAACAGTGTGCTGCTAGCTGGGTCTCCTCCTTCATCCCCATTCTCCCTCCAGTATAGGTATATCCAACGTACCTTCGGTATGAAAATAGTAGAGTGCGACCGTCCCGGTTCAGGGTGAGTCGGTGGGCGGCATTGGCAATCGCACTGCAGATTTCCTTGCCGGGGTGGTGGTGCGTTGGGGAAGAGGAGAGCGTCCGTGCGACTTGGATACATCAGGGGATCCCATCTTCTCCACGTATGAGACTACAGCCTCGGGGTCCTGGAATGCAAGGGGAGATCCGTCCTCCGATTGAAAGCGAAGAATAGCCGGGTAGGCCAGAGTGAATCTGATCCTTTTTTGATATAGGATAGAACATACTCTACTGAACGCTTTGCGTTTCCTGGTGACCTCCGCCGAGTAGATGAGCAGATGATGTCCATCCAGATGAAGTTCTTTTTTGGCGCGAAATGCTTGCATGACCGCCAAGCGATCTGTATAATCCAGGTATCGGGCGATTATGGGGCGCAGACCCTTCCTCTCGGGGTTAGGAGGCCCCACTCGATGCGCACGTTCCACCTTACACACCGGGTCAAGGCCCAGGAGATCCGGTATATTGTGTGCGCAAATGGATGCCAGCATCGACGGTCGGTAGGATTCCGGTAAGCCTACGATCCTTATGTTGTTCCGACGAGAGCGGTTCTCGAGGTCGTCCACCTTGTCTAGTAGAAATTGCACTTGTTTAGTGTTGGATTGCAGGTGGGAAGTTGTGGAATCAGCTACTTCCTCCAGGGCTGCTATCCGGGATTCCGCTTCGGTAATCCTTTGGGCCTGGTGTAGTAGATCCTGTCGCAGGGATTGTATGCCCTTGCCCACCACCTTGTTGACGGCGTCTTGTATGGTAGGACGAAGCAACTTGGCAACTTCAGCTATCAGGCTATGATCGGATAGAGCTGATACATCGTCCTCCGACGAGGCGCTGATATCCCTCATGTCTGGAGTGGCGGCCATCTTGGGCTGTGTCTGTGGTCGTTTGCCCCGGACAGGAGTGCCTTTGCCGCGTAGACCAGTTCTGCGTTTGGCGAGGAACTTGTCCATACTCCCGAGAGTGCAGTCACTACGGCGGGAAGCAAAACGGTTCGTTTGCGATGTTGGGGTAAGATTTTATATTAGGGTTAGCCCTGGCTGTGCGGGAGCTCCTCACTCTGCGACCGCTACATCAGGCGCCGGAACCGGAAGTCTCTTTTTCTACTTTTTAAACAATTTTTCTATTCTGTTCGGTCCCACAGAGGGACCGAGCAGAACAGCCGAGCCGAATGCCGCTCAGTGGCATTCGGCTATTTACTCACTGCTGTTTGGCATCCATGAGAATAGACCGAACAGCAGCGAGTAGCCTGCACGAGTAGCCTGCAGAGTCCAGATGTTGAGCATGTAAGGCTGGAATCAGCCGTACCAGCCTGAAGTAAATAACCTACCCCACTTCGCTTGGGGTAGGTTAGTCACTGGGCTGCCTATGGCAGCTTATTGAATAGACCCCCAAAGTGTTTTCATCCTGCAGCTCTAACAGCTGATGAAAGAGTATTTCCACAGCTGTCAGGACCACAGAATAAAACAAGCTTCATTAATCATTCACCCTATCAGCAAGCAGCTCTTTTAACCTCTGCACTTTTATTATCAGTGTGCTACTTTGCAAGGAGTCTTTCAAGCGTTGTATGCAAGCAGTGACTCAAGCAGTGACTCAGGGGTTGAATCATATATGTGGCAGTGAGTGCAGTTCCTCGCAAAGCAGCACCATCATAATGATAGTGCAGGGGCTTAAAGCAGGAGCCACTTGCTGATAGTATAAATTAATGAATTAAAGGGGTTTTTTTTATCCTGCTGCCCTGGCAGCTCCAGAAAAAATCTCATTAGACTCTTAGTATCGGGGCCGCTGGATTAAAACACTTTAATTCATCCCTACTATCAGCAAGGGTTCAAGCATTGTCAGCATGGGCTGTGACAATGTAGAGGGAGTTAGAAGATAAGAGGATCTGACACTCCTGGACCCTAGTGGAATAAAGTTGTATCTGGACTATTATTTGAATTGGTGTGGCGCTTCAATTCCTACATCTACAGCAACCCCATCCTGGTCCTGTATTTAGTAAAGAGGGAACTAAGTAGATTACTGTGGGTATTGGATTGTGTCTATAAATGGCAAATTGAGCATGTATGAAAAGTTTGGTTTGTTTAAACTTCCTCATTTCAAGATATTAAGTGTCTCAATTCATATTTCAGAGAGGTCACTTCTGTTTTTCTGAAGGAGCAAGATCTATGAGTGCATTCAGGGGATCTGCTCCTTTGGGCTCTGAGGCAGTGTGTGGCTGAGAGGTGCACTGTGCTCCCTCCAATGCGTGTGTCTATGGTTAAAAAACACTTCAGTGAGCCAGCAGAAGTGGTGGTGGAACTGTTCCCAGTGTATGAAAATTAGTTCACTTCCTGCCCATTACCTTACCATTACCTTCCCAGAGCTCTGTGGGGTGCTGGTAGAATACTGGTTGTAAATTATTGTATGAACCAACCAGCAAAATGGAAACTCAGGAGTCCAGTAGCTTTCCACCATCACAGCTCAGCCATTCCCCCCTATCAGTTATTTTAGATTCACACTTGTTTGACATATTGATTGGAAAAATTGCATAAATGAAAATTCCAGTTAAATGTAAAACAAATGGGGATCCCCTCTAGATGATGAAAACTACCCCCATGCCTATCAATGTTACCCTACACCTCAAAAATGACACAGATCTCTTCAAAGAGTCTCACATTAAGGATACTAGAATTATGCATTATAAATGTGCCACAATAGCAGATAGCTAAAATGTTTGCAGTAGGTTTACCTTTTACTTGTTTCTCTTAAAAAAAAAAAAAAATACCTTAACCTCCCTGGCGGTATTCCCGAGTCTGGCTCGGGGTTAATTTTCCATACCAGGAGCGGTAACCCTGAGCCAGACTCGGGAATGCACAGAAAAGTGTCACTTACCTTGTCCCTGCGAGCCCGCGGCGTCCTCTGCTGTACGCGGCCGGTCGATGCCGGCATCTGACTTTTTGTTTAGTTTTTGGGGCGTCACAGCCTTGGGATGCTAAAATCCTGAATAATCATACAGCCAGGGAGGTTAAATACCTCAAAAAAGTAATTCAGAACAGTTTCTATTCAGAAGTACATACACTCAAATATATTGGTGTTGGCATTCATCAAATTGTGATCATCAGCAATAAAAGAGTGAACTCAAAAGAAGTGCTGTAAGCTACATATAATGATAAGGATTCTATCCTATATCAGCACATAGAACAGGCATGGTTCAGTAGATAAGTCAGTTCAAAAGAATGGGTTACAGTTTCAGCCAATAGGCTTATTCCATTGTCGATGTGTACTGTATCCCAAACACTATAAAAAGTATCCAGGTCCTCACTACAGACCCTTGCTAATTCTCAAGCCAATCTCAGGTTTGCCATACCAACTCCTGCTCATCACAATGTCTCTGACAGCGGGGGAGACGGGAGGCTGGGCTTGTCAGTGGATTCAGGCATCAGGAAGGACAGGTGCTGCGCATGATTAGTATGCAGCCCCTGTCCTTCTCTATGGGTGTATGCAGCAGTACACCCCCCTACTCACGCTGACCCACATACCAGGATGTGGCTGTGGGTGCCTGCAGAGACGGGTATAGGCTCCGCCTCGCCAGGCTAACAGTGACAGTGTCGTCAATGACAGGCAGCCGCCTGTTGTATTCACAGCACACACGCCGGAAAATACAGCTGTCCCTCCGTGTGTGTCACAGACTTTACTGCAGTTCATTGTACAAAGTTTTTACAATGAACCGCAGTAAAGTCTGTGACACGGAGCTGGCTGCGGCAGAACGCGGAGGCATTGCCCCGTTGCCCCCCCCACCCCCCTGGATCCGCCACTGGGGTGGTGAGGCTCTGGACAGGTAAAGTCCCTTTAAACTTTGCTATTTTTGTATTATAGGTGATTTGAGTAGTTTTGTCTTGTGATGAATATAATGGCATATCATTTAGCACGTTCTGATGTAACCAGTTATATTGTCATTTCTGGGGGGGGGGATCTTTTTTACTTATTGCATAGAATTGGTCCATCCAGTTTGATGTACGAAACATTAACCCAGTAGGCCTTTTTTTAAAAAATATATAACCGTTGTACTGTTTTTATATGTCAAAGGATTTGTAATTCTGTGCAGCAATTTGGGTTGATTTACTAAAGGCAAATAGGCTGTTCGCTTTACAAAGAAATTTTTATTTTGCAAGGGAATTTTCACTTAACTTAGTGAATGAGGTTAAGTTCATCAATCATGTGCAAGCAAAAATGTTGTTTTTTTCCTTACATGTGATTGGGTATTTTTTGCAAGGTGACATTTCACCACATTTACTAGGCTATGGGAAAATTCCCTTGCAAAGTGAAGAGCCAATCCCATAGTCTTATGATTTACCTCCCTCTGACACAACACATAACCTGGTTCAGCAATGCAAATACCTTTGTTACTATTTCACCTTCAGCTTACTTATTGGATAATCAGTTGGCATTATCCCCCTTTGTGCAATAAGCAGGCAGGGGATCCAGCAAGCAGAAAACCTGAAGCAGGATGAAGTAATTTTGCTGGCTATGCGGTGTAGGAGAGGTGTGTAAATCACAAAATTGGCTGTACATAATTACAAATCCTTTGCCAAATAACACGGTAAACATATCTGTAGTTTAACTGTGTATTTAGCTGCTTTAGGCATTATTGCCTTTTAATTTGTTTGCAGTAAAAAAAAAGCTTAATTAAAACTAAGTGACTGGTGTATATAAATAGTAATTAGTATTATTGACAGTGCATATTGAGTAGGTTTTGTATACACAGTTTTAATCTACATCAATACAGAGCATATGTTTAAGGTCTGAATGCCTTTTCAGAATGGTTATCCTTTACATATGATTGCAGTATTTATGGACATACTTATACACCTATACTACTTGTACAAAAGTAAGGGAAAAAAACAAACTGCTGGTCGTTATAACCACCTAGCTGTGTTTTTTTTCTAACTTGAACAATACTGAAATCTGATTGTTTACTTTCTACAAAACTACCCTTGTTATCTCCCGTCTTGACTATTGCAACTCTTTCCTCATTGGCTTTTCACTACACACGCTATTCCCCTTCAGTCTATCATGAATGCAGCTGCTAGACTCATCCACCTGACCAACTGCTCAGTGTCTGCAACCCCCCTCTGCCAATCCCTCCACCTGCTTCCACTTGCCCAAAGGATAAGATTCAAAATATTAACAATCACTTATAAAGCTATCCACAACTCTGCCCCCGGCTATATCTCAAACCTTGTCTCAAAATATTACCCTAACCATCCACTCCGCTCCTCCCAAGATCTTCTGCTTTCCAGCTCCCTTGTCATCTCCTCCCATACTCGCCTCCAGGACTTCTCTAGAGTCTCTCCCATCCTCTGGAACTGTTTACCCCAACCTGTCCATCTATCTCCCACCTTGACTGCCTTTAGGCAATCCCTAAAGACTAATTTCTTCAGGGAAGCCTATCCCACCTCGACCTGACCACTGAACTGTCATTTTCTCAAACAATTCATCCCCACACAGTTACCTCCTCATGTATCACTTGCCCCTCCCTTTTAGATTGTAAGTCCTCACGGGCAGGGCCTTCCTTACCATCTTGTCTTGAATTGTATTGTAATTATAATGTCTTCCTTATATTGTAAAGAGCTGTGCAAACTGTTGACGCTAAATACATCCTGTATTATAATAATATCCTAATTTGTTTTGTACATGAGGCCAAGTATGCAGGGTTCAAAGCCAACACTGACCACAACATACAGATAATATGCTTATAATGTACACAAGACGTTAATTATCTCCGCAATGTATTATTAATTGTAAAATAATCACTTTATCTAACCATTAAAATAATGCAGTGTAGCATACAGAGAACATACATACACACATTAAAATGTGTCCTTCAAAAAACAAGAACTTACCATTAACGTCTGATGTTATTTTCATTTTTTTCAGACTTTTCCTGAGCTTCCCTTAAACCAAAACTTACTTTAGCCACTTTGACCTGACTTCTGGCTCTGCTGACGTCAAGGCTCACGGTGGAAAAGTTCTGAATGCTATTGGAAATGCAGCCAATCACCTAGATGACCTTGCTGGTAACCTGTCCACCCTCAGTGACTTGCATGCATACAACCTAAGAGTGGATCCAGGAAACTTTGGAGTAAGGGTCACCTATTTACTATCATTCTAAAGTAATAAGATAACTTGGGGGAACATATACTGGATTTGATTTTGCTTACAACACAATATATTCTTTTGATTTTGGTTACCTTAAATTTATAATGCAAAAATATTGTGGGTCATAAAATATCAAATTAGAGATTATAGTCTAAAGGCAGCATAGATTTATTGAAAATCTACCACAACTTGGTTTTCTTTAACTCGTTGCAACTAGGACTTGGAAAGTTATTGTCTTTTCAAAGCTGGGTTTTCATTAAACCTAAGAAAGCCAGATCTTAAAGCGGACCTGTGATGAGAAAAACATGGAGGCTACCATTACTGGTCTCCTTCGGAAACACTAGCTGCCTGGCTGTCATGCTTGCTCCTCATGCATCATAAATTAGTGACCTGAAATGCTACACAGGTCATGAAACTCAGAGTGAAAATTTGATCTACAAATTTGTTCCTGGTCAGTGATTCAACATGACAGTAGGTCAACTAGCATTTTTCACTGCAAGGGTAGTTTTTCCCTGCCTGAAGCGGGGCAGGGGGTGGAAGAATTCCTATCTATTACTGTTCTGATAACCCAAAATTTGGGATCTTCTTTCACTTTCATTATTAACGGTCACAAGGACAACTAGATAGGTGCCCTAATCAGGGTCAAATTTACTCTCTGCTGCCCCAGGGCCAGGTTCCCCTGCCAACCCCCCTCCCCCCCCCACAGAGAATGGCAA